AATTGGAATGTGCACGTCGCCTGGGCGTGCGCACGTCGCTCGGGCGAGCGACATAAATCCTCAAACAAAAAAAAGCCGACAAAGCAAAAAACCGTGATTTTGTATCGCGCCTGAACATGGATGGGCAGATGGTGCAGCCATGCTTCCAGATACCCTAAACCCTAAACCCTAAACCCTAAACCCTAAACCCTAAACCCTAAACCCTAAACCCTAAACCCTAAACCAGTGCGGGTGGCGAAACCCTAAACCCTAAACCCCAAATGCTCACATGTACTCACCAGGGCGGATGGAGTCGCCAGCATGGGGCAGTGACGCTTGTCTGAAAACTAGACGGTGGTTGATTCGCGACAGCAACAGTGTTGTCTATGAAGACTTGTGAACCCTAAACCCTAAACCCTAAACCCTGAACCCTGAACCCTAAACCCTAAACCCTAAACCCTAAACCCTAGACCCTAACCCCTAAACCCTAAACCCGAGCCTTGGGACTAGTTGAGCTGCCTCGCTCCAGCTGACTACAGCCGGCTCTTGGTGCCACTTAGTTGTCATTTGAGAAGACTACTGAGAGCCCCCAACAGGATGCAGTGCAAGATGTAAGAAGTTCCACACAGCGCAGGAGTCAAGCCATGTGCTTGGAGTGTGGTGATGAGTGTGGTGGAGGCCTGGCCGACTGATTGCGAGCTCCGGGTAGCGAGGTTCCAGAAATTCCCAAGTGGTTCCTCATCTGGGAGGTGCCTCCATCTCCATTTCTTGGCAGTTCCTTGGTCTTTTCCTACAGACCTTACGACCTCGGTTCTTGCTAGCGCAGCGTATGCCCGGCAGTTTTGGCCGCTCAGGATCACCAACTTGGACTGCGCAGTCGCTTGGTCGATATCCTGTACGGGCTGGAAACATGAAGATGTGCCGTTAAGAGGCAGGTCTTTCCATCTGGTGCGGACATATTTTTCAGGTCCTTGACCAAAAGCGTCGACGTGATCTTTCAGCAGCTTATGCTGTGCATCTTGCTTCCGCCTTCGATGGAGTCTCGCCCAGACGCTTCCGCAATCTTAATGGTGATGAAGCAGAGGCCCAGGGCGCCAGCTGGGCGGGAAAAAGGACAAACGTGACGGTAGAATCTTTGACTTATTCACATCAGCTTCTTGCGCTGGCAGGTGAGCCTGATGCCTTCAGGCTCCTTGGAAGCATGTTGCGTGCTAGAAGAACTCCTATGGGTTCGAGGTGAGGCTCTCCCAGGATTCATTGCACGCTGCACGCTGTTTGGCACTTCTGACGGACTTCAGCTAATATCGTAAACCCCCACAGCGGCATGCTGAGGCACTTCTTGCCAGGCTCACTGCATTCTGACCTTGCCAGATGGTGGCACGCTGCAATCGACGTCATATCAGCAATTAAAGGGCAAAAGACCCCAAACCCTAAACCCTAAACCCTAAACCCTAAACCCTAAACCCTAAACCCTAAGCCTTAACCCCTAAGCCCTAAATGTCAAAAAGATCCAGAGTGCCCCAAGGATGGCCCGGCACGTTAGCCTTGCTCAGCTCCGGAACCTGCTGCGGGGATCCACGATGCTTTCTGCAGAGCACAAGGTGGACATTGCCGCTTTGATGCACAAGCAACTGCTGGCAAGAAACTGAAAAACATCTGAAAACCTTTTGCTTTCGGACAGGGCACAAGATAGAGCGGTCCTTGAATCACATTCAACAAGTCGCACCCCCCTCACAAAAAAAGGACTCCCCCAAGAAAGGCCCGACCAGTTCCTTCCCTCCTGCTCCCGCTGAGAACCGATACGACCTTTCTTGGTGAACAGTGTGTTGTTTCCATCGGCTCATGTACAGGTCGACATAACAGCCACGGCCTCAGGTGTCTGACAATGTCACACCAACCCTGAGTACTGACTTTCCCTGTACGATTTGGTGATGGCTGTGCAATACATGCCAGGCATGATCGAGCATCAGTTTTGTGTAGGTTTTTTGTGCAAGCTCAGATGATGCCCGTATCGTTTACAACTTGGCCCATCACCGTATCAGCAACCTCCACACACTGGTCGCCTGCATCGTCTACAACACCATTCGCAACTTCCACATCCAATGGTCCAGGCTTCCTAGAGGAAAAGCTGTGGGCTGTGGGCGCGTCTAATTTCAGGGGCGCCACACACGGCATTTGGCAGGCCTTCCTCGACAACCGCTCGCACAGACCGCCAGCAACTCTTCAGAGGTTGCCTGGCCAGATTTCAGAAACCCACCCATGTCGGACAATTTCTCAGAGACCGAGGCATGCCCAAGGTTAAACCCGAAGCCACCTCTCCGGAACCCCTCACTTCGGGGGTCATCGGGCCGCTCACAGAAATACTTTGCGAGGGCCTTTAGATGCGGGACAGACATGGTCAGACGGTCAAGATATCAGCATTGAGTTTATCTGTAGTTTCTCCTGTTGCTCGATGTTTGGAGAGATGTGCTGACACGGGAGCATGCCACATCTCTCGGGTGCTGTCGTTTGAGCTTTTGTCCTTGGAGGGGTCACTTTGTGCACCTCTCATATTCTGGCGAGTGAGCATTCCTCCGAGTCGCTTTGAGTGCTTCGCAGCAAAACGCGCAAAGAGCTGTGTTGGAGGTCGCCGTTTCCGACCCTGACACTTCGTCACAGCGACGCTGGGCCGCAGACATGTGGTACATCATGTCGCGCTTCAGGGGCTGAGTTTTGCAGAGCTGTCAGCTGTCAAATGATGAGGACACAAGGTCGATTCTCGGCTATTGGTTGCATTCCTGAGCCTGGCCGCCGCAAACTCAGAGCTTCGGCCCCCCAAATTTCCTGTTCAGACACTGACATGACAGGTGAAGGCCAGGGCAGCAGGAAGGGGTTAAGATGCGCCATGAAGCACTTCTCGCTCCTCTATGGTCCTCTAGACTCCTCTCATCGCGCCATGAGTTCGGTTGTGTTGGGTCCTTGTGTGCGTATTGTAAGTAGTGAGTACATTGCCGCTTACTCATGGCATAGGCATGACTTTGAGTCCGTTTAGAGTGCATGCAGTGGGGTGGGGACACCGTACATGGCACGAGCATCGTCTGCGACAACGCAGTGTAAGCGCCTGAGGCGTGCCTGTGTTGCATGGAGCTGCTTCACATTGTGACCTGGCTAGACACGCAAACACTTTATCTGCTCGACTCTGCCCCTGACGATTTAGAGCCGCAAGTGTGCTTGCTTAAGGTTTGGAGGTCAAGTGCAAGAACATTCGTCCTGCGGTGACTTGGGTTCGTATTGCGTGGGCGATCCGGAGGCGTACTGTAGATGGGAGTTGTGTTCGTCATGCCTCTCGAGGTGTCGGAAGGCGCCGAACGGCATGGAGTCTGATACAAGTGGAAGCGAGGAAGCGTCCGATGAAGAAGCCGCGAAGTCCAGCTAGTGAGCCAGATATGTGTTTTTCCCGAGACTGAGACTGCCAGCGTCGTACTGCGTCGTACAAAAATGCCACGCTTGCGTCGCGAAATTGCGGATGTTGGCTTTGCTTGATGCACACAAGCTTACTTCGTTGCACAAGCAAAGTGGCATGCTGTGGCTTGGTTGCTATCTTGTTAGGTTGGATACCTGAAAGTGTCGTGTGAGGACCTGCACGATGCATGGTGCGAACAGCGGCGCAGACAGCCAGCTGATGGCCAGACATGCGGCATGCCAAGTCATGCCAGATCTGCACGTGTTTCCTTTGTGATGGGTTTAGGGTGCCATCCCGTCAGCATAGCATCTTGCAGTGGGACCTGCTGGCCTTGACATGTATTGCCGTATTGCTGACAGTGAAACAGTCACTGAGTTCGAGGACTCGCTCTGCCTGGACCAGTTTTTTCTTCGGGAACGCGGCCTCGTATCGCAGGCCACCTGCGCGAACTTTGCGTGCCTAGAGATCGACCAAGTGGTGCCCAAAAAAGGGCGTCACGATGTGCTGAGGTGGTGGTTGTAGGCTTCTGGTGGTTAGGATTCGTGCCAGAGTTCAGGGCAACAAGAGCTATGAGACAGTCAAGCCTTGTGCAGCTCTCAAGCAGTGTTTCACCATGCGTGCTTTCCCAAACTAGTTTCGGCGTCAGCGGCTTCTTCCAACGAGTTCGGTGGTTACCTCGACCCTGGCTATTCTAGGTGCTTAGCAGTGCCTGGACCAATCGACTGGTGGCTCCAGGCTGGAAAAGTGAGGGTCTTGTGTGCGATCGCTGCTTTGCGAGGGTGATTTTCAGTTGGATATTCCTGACGGCGACAGATTTGGGGGTTTGATCTTACCCGGTAGGCGAGCTCGCTTCTCATATTTTGCCATGAGGTGTTGGGCCTGCGCACATCAAAAAGCAGTGTTTGGCAATTCCTTGGCCACAAACAAACACCCGCCGAAAACTTAAGGGCCAAATTGCATTCTTTTCCCGACACACCACACACACAAAACGACCGAGTCTCTGAATCTTCTTGAAGTCGCTTCATTTGAATGCTCAAATGCGTGTTTCGTCGAACGAGTTGCAATTTGCACACGCCCTCGTGCAGGCTTGGGTGACGGGAGTCCGTGCTCATTCGGGAAAGGCACTTGCCTTGGATCAGTCTGTTCAAGACCTGTTCAATGATTTGCTTGGCCTTGCTCTTCGTTTGAGCCGCACCTGTGTTCCAAATATGCGAACGAAGGCACCGTGGCTTAAGCTGAGCGGATGTAGTGCCGCAGCCATGCCAGAACAGCTGGTGGTGGCTCCCTTGCCTGCTTGGTTGGCGCAATAAGCCCGTGGGATGAACACCGAGTGCCAGCTGCAAGATGTGGGAGTCGATGCGGAGTTGTTGGACAGCTTCTCGGAAAGATAATGGGGTTTACGAGAATAAGAGACCCCAACAAAAAAAACCCAAATAGTAGGATCCCCTAATAAGGTACCCCTAGTTTCGGAAACCCCCATCATACCTTCAAATCTCCCCTTGTTTTGAGGGGGCGTTTGGGGTGCTGTCTTCGGTCAGAGCAGTCAGGTGACGAGCTCAGGCAGCAGCTTCAGAGGGATATGGAGGCATGGAACGCAGTTGCTCGCCAGAAGCTGAGTGCCTCCCGAGATGCACGGAAGCTTAGGAGCTGAGTGAGTAAACTTCACACGTTTTTGGGATGCCATAAACTATGCCATAAGCCCCTAGAAAACTGAAAGTGTACGCTTTTTTTTTTTTTTTGGGGGGGGGGGGGCTTGTGAACTCAGCAACCAAGGAAGCGCTCTGAGAAGGACGTCCAACTCTTAGCCAACCGACTTCGGCTCCTGAGGGCGGAGGAAGCCAAAGCCCTCCGCATTATTGAGGAGGTGCGGCGACGGACCAGGGAAGTGCTGGAGACCAGAATGAAGAATGAGAAGATGCTCCAGTATCAACAGGCCATCAAGCAGTACAACCTCGAAGAACTTCGGCACATGACTTGGCACGATGCTCTTTCTTTTCTTGCTTTGGCGCACGGGCTTTCCTACTAGAGCATGTGAACTTAAATCCGCGCACGCGCGGTGTGCAGAATCGGCGTCTGGCCTCTGTGCCATGCCCACGCAGCTTGGCATTGTGGCAAACTTGCTTTTCTGGATTTTAGCTTCAGCTTCCAGGTAAATCTACTTGAGACGCATGGCGACATATTGACACGTGCATCAACTATGCAAGGGAACACGCACAAGAATGACAAGCACGCGGATTCGGGAGGTCAAATGCTCTCCCAACCTGAGAGCTACAAAAGGCAAACTGGCTTTGGCATTCCGATCGGGAACAGTCGGTGGTTTCTCCCCTAAACCCTAAACCCTAAACCCTAAACCCTAAACCCTAAACCCTAAACCCTAAACCCTAAACCCTAAACCCTAAACCCTAAACCCTAAACCCTAAACCCTAAACCCTAAAAAAACCCTAAACCTCAAATCTATTTCTTTCTCTGATTTTGCCACCTTGCGGGGCCATGTAGGAGTGCGAGGTGCATGGCTCAAGTCCTGGCGCGAGTCATCCTAAACCCTAAACCCTCAGCCCTAAACCCTAAACCCTAAACCCTTAACCCTAACCCTTAACGAGTCACCCTTAACCCTTAACCCTGAACCGCGAAACCCTAAACCCTAAACCCACTAAGGAAATGGAGCAAAGAAAGCGAGAAAACAATGACCGGCGTGCGCGAGCTCGCTCTGCCCGGCAAAGGGCGGAGAAGCCGACGCAGCGTTCCTTGCCAACCAGTGAGGTCCCTGTGTGCACGCGCCGAACTAAAGACGCTGAGTTTTTTTTGGTGTTGTTTGCTTTTTCTGCCCCGGCGATATGTCTCAGAGGCACCTGTTCAAGTTGGTATTTTGCTTTGTTTTTCAGACCTGAGGCTATGCTGGTGAGCTTCGCACGCCGCGCTTGTCGACCAGGCCTGGCGTGGACAGCATCGAAAACATCTTGAACTCAGATGCACGCAGGGATCAGTGCCAGAAGTCAAGGCGACGTAATGTTGTCCCACCATGTTGCGCGTTGTCCACTTGCGCCCAGTGACGCGAAAACCCGAGTTACAATTGAGCACAGTGCGAGAGGAAACTTCTGAATGAATAAACCCTAAACCCTAAACCCTAAACCCCAAGCCCTAAACCCTAAACCCTAATTCTTCTGAGAGGTCTCCCAGCCTGGAGTCTTCGCCTTCTTCCGTGGGCCGCATCGAGCCCATCGAGCCGATCGAGCCAGTAGCGCCGAGGGGCCAAAGGTGTACGGCCCAAGCCGCCCCGGGCTAAGCCACTGCTGCAGGGTTTTTTAGGATTTAGGGTTTAGGGTTTAGGGTATAGCGTTTAGGGTTTAGGGTTTGTGAGACGTAAAAAGGGGTTTGTGAGAGAGAGAGAGAGAGAGAGAGAGAGAGATAGAGAGAGAAGGTTAGGGTTTAGGGTGCAACATTGTTGCAGTAGTATGCAGCAGTGACAGCCAAAGTGACAGCAACCGTAACAGCAGCAATTCCACGTGCTTCCCGAAATTCGTCGATCCATCGTGACCCACGTCGGCCTGCTGTGCTATGCTGAGCCCAAAGAGCCCAATACCCCTGAATTAAGGAATATAGCTTAAATGAAAAAGGGATCCTTATTATAATTTAAGCTATATTCCTTTAATTAAGGGGTATTGGGCTCTCTGGGAGCATCTGTTACCTTTGTCTGAGTCGAGGTCGCCGGCAATGCCCGCAAGGCCGACGCACTCCTAACAGAGGAGCGTGAGCTACTGGCGTCTCGCTTAGCTTTGCAGGAGTAGGGCGAGGTGCGGAAAGCCCAGTACGGTCTTCGTCATGAAGCACAGCAACATATACCCGAGTGAGACGGCGCAACTTGCAAGGTGCGCCTGCGCCAATCAAATGATTCGAGAAGGACTTGCAACTGATCTCGAACGATTCGAATTATCCCCAGAAGTCACGCCAAGACTCTGCACCATGACCGAAGAACCTTCTCCTTCCAGAAGTTCAGACTAATTACGTGAATTGCGGCTTCTGCAGAACCTAGGCAGCAGGCACATGTCGGTTGAGCAGTCATGGTGTGTACATGCCAGTACATTGAGTGCATGCAAGCCTTGGGGAGGATGCGCAGAGTGCCTCTGCCTCCGGTGGCGCTGGAAGATGATTGCCGCTCGCCTCGCAGATTTTGCACACTCTACATGCCAGAAGTGGCGCTGCATGACTCTGCCCATATGCTACCATCCTCTTAACCACCCTTTCTAGGCATGCTGGTCACTCCAATGGATCGCATATTGCTGCAGGCCCCGTGCGATCTGCATTGAAAGAGGCCGGTTTCACTCCGAGGCGGAAGGATTGAGCGCATTGAGTTTCACTCCAAGGAAAACTTTGAGAGTGCAATTCACGGGCTGCCCAGTGTTGGCTCCTGCCAGTAGCTGCCCCTGCATGGATCAGACGAGCAATGCAATCAACATTGCGCAGTCTCACTTCAACCGACGCTCACACGGCGTGTCACACAGTGTCGCACAGACTTCGCCATTAAGTTGAGTCTGGAAACGATCTGCTAGATGCCGGCCCACATCATCGGACCAGGACAGGTGTCACATGTCCGTCACGTATGCTACATAAGCACTTCTACCACGGGCTTGCCAGTTCGCCTGCCTCTGGAAAAGACCAGAATCGAAGAACTAGGTGATCTTCTCATCTATCTGCACCTTCCTTCCCTTTTGTGAAGGTTGTCAAGATGCCGGGCACTGGAGTCGCTTCGCGATTGGCAGCCACAGGTTCAGTCCTCATTCCACTTCGACCTTCATCCCTTGCTGATGTTGCAAGCCTATGTCCGAGGCCTGGAGGAAGTCTCTGCAGAAGCTGCTGAAAAACAGGGCCGCTGCATGCTCAGCAGGTGCACGCAGGTCAAGCAAAGCCAAGCTTTGGACTCACGTAGCCAAGCCGCCTCTGCTGCGACCCGAAATCATGCAGAGGCCGCTGGAGCACCACCGGCTTCCCTTACTTGGCTCCAGCAGTTAGCAGCGAGCACTCTAACCGTCGACAGCGCTGTGCAGTGCGTAATTGAATCTTAATCCGGACTCCTAGGCGTGAAGTGCAATTTCTGGTTGGCATCAGATAATCAGCAACTTTCATGGTTCGCAGAGACCATGCAGATTCCTTCGGAATTCAAGTGCTGCGCCCCTTGGCATGACAGAAAGAGACGGAGAGAGAGAGAGAGAGAGAGGGGGGCACTAGCAGTAGGAATTTCCAACATGAGGGGGCCCAGTCTACCCTCGCACGGGGCCATAGCACAGCAAAGTAGAGTGAGTAAGCCATCGTGGGGGCTGGGAGATTTCAGGTTCCACTTCCAGGCGCTTCGAGGGTAGGACTTCGAATTGAATTGGGGCTGCTTTGGGGAGTTTAAGGGGGCCAGCCTGTTTGAGACCACAGAAGGCTAACTCGTTTCACTGCACTGAACTCCGGAGGCTATGAAATCGTGTAGGGGGCCCTGAGGGTTATAGTCGATGACCTAGCTTCCGACAGTTTCTGAAAGGCCCCGGCAGTTCGCATGCTGGATGGTACCAGCCAGGGAGAGAAACGGAAGGGAATGGCGCGGGGGGGGGGGGGAACTAAGGACCCTTAAGGACTGGGGCAGTACAGAATTTAAGCGCCAAGCCCGACCTTGTCTCCCGAGCTTTACCGACAAAGGAACCCCGAATACCGGGGCAGGCGCACAGCCAGGGGGTTCGCCCCCACGCCCCCAAGAAAGAAAGGAAAGAGAGAGAGAGAGAGAGACGCAACATGTATCTTGTATGTATGTCTAGTGAGGTTCGTTGTTTCCTTTTTTTTTTGGGGGGGGCCCCTAGCACATGGAAAAGATTCTTGGTTTTTAGGGTTAGGGTTTAGGGTTCTGGGTTTAGGGTCATCCAAAAAGGCTCGTTGTTTTCATGCCGCAAGGTTTGCCTCTCTGTGCCAGAAGTCGCCGTCAAGACGGAATGCTCGCGCCTTGGGATCTTTGGTTTAGGGTTTAGGGTTTAGGGTTTAGGGTTTAGGGTTTAGGGTTTAGGGTTTAGGGTTTAGGGTTTAGGGACATGACACATTGTGTACTAGCTTCGCAAGTCCAATTGCAACAAATCGTTCGCCTGCAGGTTCGCACAGGCTCTGCCAGAATTGCACAAGGCCTCATCAGTTCAGTTGACTTTCAGGTATGTTCTGCAGTTCTGGTTCTGCCTTTAACTTTCTAAAGTCACCAACAAGGTCTGCCACTAATCAATCAGACTGGCAGGACGTGGCGTGAAAGCTGCCACGGCTAGCAAACATGCATGTTTCAGTCAGGCAGGGCTGCTTGCAAGCTTGTTCCTGCCTCAGAGTTGGATTTGCATTTTTCAGCCGGCCATAGCCAGCCAATCTTACACCATGGACTCTTGCGACTCTGTCTGCCGTGTTTTGCTTTCACCAAATAGTTTAGGCTTAGTCATTCAAGTACGTCGGTTAGGATACTGGTTGCTCATGCATCTCTAGCAAGCGGCTTAGTAGGAACGTTTCGCAATGTTTTTGCCCAAGGTCCGGTTTGCAGCAAAGCTGTCGATGCTGAGGCCGGTAGGTTAGTGGATTATACGAACCGACTGGTAACTCCGAGGTGCTATAAAAATATAATATAATATAATGAAAATTTTATTATAATTTTAATATAATATAATATAATTTTAAAAAAACTAATAAAATATAATATAATATCGTATAATATATAATATAATAGAATATTATATAATTTTAATATAATATAATAGAATATATTCGAATATAATAGCATATAATATGATATAATAGAATATTATATGATACAATATCGATGTTGATATCGGACAGCTCATCGTACTTCCCAACGCTCACACGCCGTATCACTTCGAAAGATCAATGCAGGCCGTTGATGCCGACTTCGCTGCCGAGGCAGTGCAGTGGACGATCAGTTCGACTTAGTACCTGGAAGCAAGGTCAGATGCGGTTTGCATGGCATGAGCAATCTTCCGCAGTGGCTTTTGCGTCGTTCTGCCTTCT